AATCAAGTTTGTAATTTGATATGGCATGCAACTGATCGTCTTTTTGTTTGTTTGTGTTTTTTGTTTTTGGGGGGTTTTTTTTGTTTGTTTTTTTTTGTTGTTTTTTGTTTTGTTTTTTGTTTTTTTGTCGCGACAAGTTTTCATTGAAGAAAAAGATTTACATCCTTTTTAACAAAGTATATACCTGAAGATAGCTAAAGAATGCATCGCTGTAAAAATTACCAGTAATCATGTTTATCAATAAGCGTTTCACTTGTACAAACAGTATTTTCTTTTGCATAAGTGTATTTCTGGTCCAAAAAAAAAAACAATGGCATTCAAGACATTAGAAAATGGATCAGAACCTACGTGTTTTTTTTTTTTTTTTGGCTTGGGCATGGAAGCAAGCATTTCAAAGTGCTGTCTGTTCTTGAATATTAACAGCAGATGCATCTCGTCTACAGCCACTTTCTCACATACATGCTGTGGCTCTCCTTTGTCTTTTCTACAAATATTTTCATGGCAAGTGCTCTGACGAGCTACATTCACTGGTAGCCCAACTGCATGAATTTAAGCGTGCTACTAGGTTGGCATCTCGGTTCTACCCTTTTACTGTCGAAACGGTTAAATGTACCCATCTCTTCTACTCCAGCAGCTTCTTATCTCGCACTTCCCAACAGTGGAACTCCCCTCATCTTACTTGCTTCCCTGATAAATACAAACTTCATATATTCAAATATAATGTCAATCGACATCTTCTGTACTGGTGAACTTGATCCCCCGTCCTTCTCTTTATCCTTTCCTCGAACACTTATCTTTACTCTTGCTCTCATTCTATGTGATCCCCTTGCGTGCTAATGGCACTCACGCCTTCATTGGGGTGATATGCTTAAAAAATCTGGCCGTTACTTTTTAAGGAAAAATAAAAAAATTGTAAATTATATAATACAGTTTAATGTTGTCCATGTACATCGAGAAAGCCAAAGGAAGGTCAAAGAATTCCATGAAACATTATCCTGGTGGTGAGTTTAATCGGGCCGTGAATAAGAAGAGATATATTTACAAATGAATATATCGAAAAATAACGATGACGCACTTTCTCTGACCCTCAATTTAATCATGTTTTTAGCTGTTTTCAGGTATGTCTAAATATCATATTTTCTCGTTTCTCTAATTGATAACAGAATCTGACGTCATTGTTCGGCAAATCTTAGTGGGATGCAAGGCGAATTGTAATTATTCTCTGTTGCTGCTGCTGCTGCTACTGATGACGGTGGCGTGTTTATAGAAAGACGCCTTTAAAATGGTGCGGGTAAACACATACACGCACACTGGCGGGATCAGTATATAAATATACACAGCTCTGTGTGCAATTGCACGCCTAAGATGTATAAGGAGATCATTTTGAAAGAAATGGCATAGAATTTCCGAAATATATTTCACAAAATCTAATCAAATTTTCAAATCGAACAGTGGGATACTTTATCAGCCGAAGTTATTGATAATTCCTCAATTCATTCGTGATTCTTGTTTATAGATGTAGTTTCTTTATAGAATTTATTGGTATATATTAGAGATGAATACAAGATCTAATAGATAGATAGATAGATAGATAGATAGATAGATAGATAGATAGATAGATAGATATGAAAAAGTAAGATGGATATGAAGAAACTGGGATAGATAGATTGATAGATACATATGAAAAATTAAGATATGAAGAAACTGGGATAGATAGATAGATAGATAGATAGATAGATAGATAGATAGATAGATAGATAGATAGATATGAAAAAGTAAGATAGATATGAAGAAACTGGGGTAGATAGATAGATAGATAGATAGATAGATAGATAGATAGATAGATAGATAGATAGATATGAAGAAACTGGTATATATATATATATATATATATATATATATATAGATAGATAGATAGATAGATAGATAGATAGATAGGCTTTGATAGATAGATAGATAGATAGATAGATAGATAGATAGATATAAACGAACTGAGATAGATAGATAGATAGATAGATATGAACGAACTGAGATAGATAGATAGATAGATAGATAGATAGATAGATAGATAGATATAGATAGATATGAAAATAATACTGAAGAAACTGGGATATATATGAATATATATGGGATATATATATATATATATATATATATATATATATATATATATATATATATATATAGGCTAGATAGATAGATAGATAGATAGATATGAACGAACTGAGATAGATAGATAGATAGATAGATAGATAGATATAGATAGATAGATAGATAGATAGATTTTAGATAGATAGATATAGATAGATAGATAGATAGATATTTTGCCAGTCGCCCCCAAAGTTGCTATATTAAATATAGCAAGAATACCACAAGGAACTCCTTCTTAACCTTTTGAGAATTGATCGCCGTTTTACCGGTGGTAGAGAAAAATGACTTAATGCCCAGCCCCCCGGTTGAACGGTGGGTAAACACTTGTAACTATCTTTATATCTTCCGTGAAGCAATACATGCCAATTATTTGCGAATTTTGACTCAGGAGCTCAAGCAGTTGGGTTAAAATTGACCAGGAACGCTGGGCTCAAAGTGTTCATAATCGGGAGTATGTCTTCTCAGCTTTTGGTAGGTAATTTGAAGAATGTATATTTTGAGATAAACTAAATAATACTCCATCACCAGGCAGAAAGTTTCGCCGCAAGACAATGAAATAGCTAACGTACTAAGTCAGAATAGAAAGCAATTAGTAGGATATCATTAGTCAATTACAATGAAAATGATCCACATATGAACACATATACACACACTCATAAACGAATACACATACGCAAGTGTGTAAACATAAACTCACATGAATACGCAACCATGAACCATGGATACGCAAAAATAAAGATAAGTGTAAACACATACATTTTATAACCAGATGAACCTTAATTCTTAAAAGGACAATGAGAGCTATTAAGAATATTATATGTAGGAACATATCTCTAGTTGATCCTAACAAACCTATTCAAATCATTGAAAGGTTAAAAAACATCGGATCTTATCGTCACTAATGTCAACAGTCTTAAAAAAACAATAATAATACTCTAAAAGAGCAATCTACAGTCAATATAATACATACATACATACATATATATATATATATATATATATATATATATATATATATATATATATATATATATGAAGAACTATAGTCTCAAGGAGGGATATATTTATGGGATTAAGTGCTCAATATCAGAGATAGACAGTGTGTAAATATAAAAGCGAACATTGAAGTCAACACATAGACGCGACAAGCTGTTTCATGCTAGACGCAATCGTCAAGCCATGAAACAGACTGTCGCCTCTAAGTGTTGACGTCAATGTTCAATTTATATTTATGCATATATATATATAAAATATATATATATATATATATATATATATATATACATATATTTATTTATATATATATATATATATATATATGATTTATATACATACATATATATATAATTTATATACATACACATATATATACAATTTAAATATACACATATATATAATTTATATATATATACATATATATTTATAATTTATATACATACATATATATATATAATTTATATATATACATATATATATAATTTATATATATATATATATATATATATATATATATATATATATATATATATATATAATTTAAAGATAGATAGATAGATAGATAGATAGATAGAAAAATGAAAACTACAGATAAAGTTCATTTTCTCCATGAAGTCATTCATTCCTGTAGTTCACTACTACTAACAAGCAGATTTTTTTCTGATGATGTTGGCCATGCTGGCCGAAACTATTCGATGAATCTAACTGAAATAATATAAAGAAAACTCTTAATATACAAACCAGTGTGTCTGAAAATTTGAATATTTTTATTATTCAAAACATATATATATATGTGTGTGTGTGTGCGCGCGCGCGCGAGCACGCGCGTTTGGGAATCTGACAGAATGATAATTATATGACAATTTGAAAATCTTTTAACATGTCAACATATAAATATATATATATATATATATATATATATATATATATATATATGAAAAAGTGTATATAAATATAAATAAATATATATATGTATAATTATTTATATATTATATGCGCGGTACTTATTAGAAAGCGCTCAATATCAAAGATAGAGCTAACATATTTGGTTTGTCTGACGATCGCTAAAGCGTGAAACCCAGGATCACAAACTCACATCTATCCAACCAAATATATATATATATATATATATATATATTATTTTATGTGCGGTGTCCTTTCAGGACGTAGGTTGTCATGACTGTTCTTTTTCCCCATCCCTTATAGTTCTCAATAATTTTCGTGCCTCTGCCAAATCTTCCAGACTACGTTCCGTCATGCATTTCCTCAAGCCCGCCAAGTATGTCATGCGATGCTTTCCTCTGTCTCTTGTTTTCCCTCTGTTCGATATGTCAGTATCAGATTCTCCAGGCCCTTTTTTCTCATCGCCTGCCCCAGATATTTCAGCTGCCTTTTCCTTATGTTAAGTATAAGTATCCTACTTGTTTGCCTCCTCTCTAAAACCTAATCGTTGCTCACACGCTTGCTCCATGACATCCTTAGCATCCTTCGGTAGAATCACATCTCAGCTGCCTCGAGTTTCTTCTTCATGTTTGTGGAGACCGTCCGACATTCGCTACCGTATAGGAAGAGAGTGTCAATAACAAAAAATCGATATTTTGTGTCTATTAAATTTATTAGTAGTTTTCGTCTGAAATGCAAAACAAAAAAAGCTATAGTTATTTTTAATAATTTATATTCAACAAACGTAACTATTTAACAATAAAAATAATTACAGTCTAAAATCCCGGATTGTTGAATGCATATAAAAATCACGTGTTATTAGTGTACGATGACGTAATGCATTGTTTCTATGTTCTAATATATCGGATTTAATTTACAAACAAAATATAACGAAACTTTCAAAACAATGCATTTCTGGAAATGCCTTTGATTTTATTTCCTTCTGTCGAACTGTTATGGTCCGGTTCCTTGTACCCAGGGTGATAGTCCAAGGTAGAACCAATAAAGAAGAACTCGAATACGGATATGGAATAACACAGATATATTACAAACAGGAATATATACAGAGAAGTATAAGTGTTAGTATGAACAATCAGGTTTAGTAGTAATTGTCTGAACGCGACTCTGTTTCGGACTGCTTCTGACTCGACTGACTGACTCGCTCACTCTGACTGACTGACAGACTTCTGACGGACCTCACTCCAGACTTCAGACTGAACAGTATTTAGTCATCCCGCCCCACGAAGGTATCATGTGGCACAAGGCCGGTTTAACGTGGGATCTCCGTGCCCGTGGACTCGGCCAAAAATATGACCATTGAACCCGTATAAACGGGTTCAGGGTCGGTTTATCTTGCCGAAAGAGAATCCGCCCTTCGGCGTAGCCTCGTTCGGGTTCCTCCCCGCCCGAAGGCAGCGAGTTCAACCGATCAGCCAGTCAGCCGGTCGTCCGACTTCAGGCTGAACTATCTGCTTCCTCTTGAGGCGCAATATTTATTACGTATGGAATAGTTCATTATGTTATTATGGGTAAGGTCCCATAACACCAACCCTGAATAGTATACATAGAGGCGAAAGCTTGGATATAGCATAACTTAATGATATTTTGATTAAACAATCTGAAATGTCCGTATTGGTGTTTCTGGCGCGAACGCCAATGAGTACAGCATGCCTTTTCCAAATTTCTGACGCAATGAATTGCATCGTGATGGTCTTTTTTCTCACACACTATGCCCAATTGAGCCTAATATACTGGACAAAATAATAAAAAATCAAAGCGCATGCGCGAAATTAAAAATATAAAATGGCGACAATTTACACCATGTATATATATATATATATATATATATGTGTGTGTGTGTGTGTGTGTGTGTGTGTGTGTGTGTGTGTGTGTGTGTGGAAAACTAACAGAAAGTACATTTGCAGATGTTGACAAACTTATTATTTTGCGAAGTTAAATCATTTAGTATTGTGACGGGGACACATAACAATATTTCAAAATAAAATTCATGACCCTAGAACATTTTCCTACTTCCGCACATCATATAAAATTTTAAATTTTCAATCTTTTTTAGTTTGGTTTATTTTGTTTTACGCCATATCAACCTCAATGGGATATTTAATTTATTTAATGCCGACAAAATTTTTTATTGCTGGTAATATTTTGTTTTGTCAAAAAATCTGTTTCTGGTAATATTTTTCTTTCAGAATTGTATTGCTGGTAATAATTCTTTTTCAAAAATGTATTGCTGGTAATAGCTAAATATTTGCCCATAGCTGGGATCCTAACAGGTGCTACCACCCTGTGTCAAGGTGGACCTGGGAAGACCAGCAATTAAGATGTGGTTCTACGCTCCTCAAAAGCCTCCTGATCTGAAGCCTTGATGCTGGATTTAGTTTATCGTCTTACCCGGGACGCTGATGTAGTTTAACGTTTTACACAGGACGACAATCTTTTTTTCATAATTTTTTTATTGATTACGTTTAAAGAAAAACTTTCGGAATAAATGTTGTTTTCCTATAAAAAGAACAATTAGGAATTCTCGCATCAGTAAATGCGAAAAGCTACTTTAACCTTGGGATAGCATAGGCAGCCATCTTTCTCACACTATAATTTTTAGCTTGTGTCGTTTTTTACCCCCAAAGTAATTTAGTTAAATTATCAATGAAAATAAACATGAAATTCTTTCGTGTATTTCTTATGATGAATATTGTTTATAGATTTGTAGACACCTCCATAAGCCATCTTTTCTATGGGTTATTGTTCCTAAGTATTTGAACAAAAATCACAGGTTTTTATTGTCTGTGACTTCAGAATCGTTAAGGATTTCGAGTATTGAAGATCTAAATGAACTTTACCTGTGTGACAACACTTCTGAACGGCAAGAGATTTTAGAGTAGAAAATATCTTTACAAACACATTTTTCAGAAATTTAAGATTCAAAACCACAAAACATGACAAAAATGCATGGCTTGTTATTACTGAAAAACTGTCTTCTTTTTTGCCATAACGTTCTCTTGAAGTCAAGTAGTTATGAACAAAATGTCTGCTAAATATATTACACACACACACACATATATATATATAGATAGATAGATAGATAGATAGATAGATAGATAGATAGATAGATAGATAGATAGATAGCTCATAATTAAAGATGTATAGCTAATAATGAGACTAGGATAGATAGATAGATAGATAGATAGATAGATAGATAGATAGATAGATAGATAGATAGATGTGAATAGACTGAGATAGATATGAATAGAAAGCTAATAAATAAAAATATATAACTAATAATGAGACTATGGTAGATAGATAGATAGATAGATAGATAGATAGATAGATAGATAGAGAGATGTGTGTATGTGTGTGGCTGTGGAGAGAGAATGCAAAAAGTGCAATTGCCATATTTGCGTAGAGAATCTTCATTGTTTTGCCCAAATTCTATCTATGTTTTTCGATGAACAAATGGAAAATTGCCACATTTGCAAAATAAATGTAAGAAACTTGCCAGTTTAAATAACTGTCCCGTTCTTTTCTTTTGTCTGTTGCTTTTTTTTTACCCTTGCAATTGTTTAAGAGTTAACGTCTCATAATAATGCCAAACGACAGCAAAGAGTCAAGCGGATCAGTGTAAAACACGATATTTGTGCGTAATTGACAGTGTAGGTCTGGCTCATTCCTTTCCTGAGTCCACATATTATACATACCCAGTTTTTTTTCCCCTTCTAGCCACAAAGCTTCAATTTCAATCCAGGATCTTCTTCGACATGCAACAAGGAAAATATAGATTTTGACTTGTCATTCGATTACTATTAAATGATGCGAAATGATTTGAGAAGGTCACCATAGTAACCGGTAGCTGGCCGATATAAAATATCCTCACTTTCTGATTGTAAAAGGAAAGCGAAGGCGGAAAAATCAATAAATAGGACCGAATGAATAAAACATTCTCCAATAGACTCTCTTTTACGTTTCTTTTTCCCCCTCCTTCTCTACCCTTTCCTCTCTCTCTCTCTCTCTCTCTCTCTCTCTCTCTCTCTCTCTCTCTCTGTATGACCACACTTTAACTTCATGGTTTGATCTCATATTTCTCATCTTTATATCAAGATATCTCTCTGCATGCTTACCAAAAATGTATCTAATGTTGCACACCGTTGGTTTGTGTCGATATTAACAAAATTAGCTAATTTTGCAAGCCATCTATCTTAGATTGCCCACATCTATCTATCTATCTATCTATCTATCTATCTATCTATCTATCTATCTATCTATCCAAGTCTCATTACTATCTATCTATAGATCTATCGATCTATCAATCTACCCCAGTCTATCTATCTATCTATCTATCTATCTATCTATCTATCTATCTATCTATCTATCTATCCTGGGTATGACGATAAACCACGTCCGACAGTGAGGTCTCTCTGATCAGGAGGTTTTGAGGTGCGTGGAACCACCTTTTAATTGCTGGTGCTCCCAGGTTCACCCTGACCCTGGGTGGTAGCATCTGTCAGGGTTCCAGCTATGGGCAAATGGTTGCCACCCCCACCCCCCAACAAAAATGTATAAACGTACGTTTTAATGCCAGAAAAACCTTCTTTGAGAATTTTTGCCAGCAATATATTTCAGAAAAAAAAAATTACCATCTATCTATCTATCTATCTATCCCAGTCTCTTCATTATCTATCTATAGATCTATCGATCTATCTACCGCAGTCGCTATCTATCTATCTATCTATCTATCTATCTATCTATCTCAGTCTTATCTATCTATCTATCTATCTATCTATCTCAATCTCTTCATTATCTAAGTCTGTCCATATATATCTGTCTGTCTAGTTTAGTTTTTCTCCCGTTTTGTTTTCTTAATTTATTTTATGGATTTTTCTTGTTCTCTTTTCCGTTCTTTTTTATTCTTTTTCAAAATATTTGTCCTTTGCAAATGTTTCTGATCTTTTATTTTCATTATTTTCTTCTCTTTTCTATTATTTTTTTTTTTGCTTCATATATTTTGTTTAGAGCTAAATAGAAATTTTTACAGTCTGCATTTCAACGCATTATTCTCCCTGAAGATGTTTTGTTCTCTACGAGAAAAAAAAAATTCCAGAAACTTTCAAAAATCTCAGAAAAAAAAAATTATTTGATAAAAAGTTCACAAGTTTGTTTTTCATTTTCTACTCAACACATTTGATCAGAACAATTTTTCGTTGTGCGTCATCACACAATGTGAACAAATCACGTCATTAAAATTCTATAATTGGAATTGTTGTTAATGACGAGCACCAATTTTGAATAAAGCTGTTTTGGAATCGACAAAATAACGAAGAGGAAACAAATCCTGATTCAGAATTTAAGTCAATCAGCTGATAAATATGGACTGGATTATTTTCTGAAATATGGTCAATTTGGGAAACTGAGAAACGTGTTTCTTTATTGAATGTTGGAAATAATTAAAAATTGTATATTTTTCCGTTTGTAAGTGAACTTCATATGGAAATCTATATAAAAACCTTTTTTCCCTTTTGATAAGAAATAAATTGGATTATTAATGTATGTGTTTTAATTTTCTCTTCATCACTCCCTCCCTCTTTTACTTTCTTCTCTCCTTCCCAAAACACAGAAATATGTACATTATAAAGACATGAACATTAAATAAAATTAAAAACGCGAAGTTATATATATATATATATATATATATATATATATATATATATATATATATATATTTATTTCTCAGGGAATACCTGAAAACCTGACCCAAAAATTTCTAAATTGAACAAAATCATCTACATTATTAGGGACTATTGTCCTCATATTTGTCGCCATATTTATTACAACGTTTCGGTCGTTGTACGCTCCAGCCTTCTTCAGGTGGTAGGAATGTCGAACTGAACTCCTTATTTCGCTCACTGGGGTAGACTGTTCTAGTTCCACGTGCCATATTTAATGGATGTCAGTTATCAGTTATCTCCTATTAATTCACCTCTCCAAGTTTTCACCGCCTTAACCAGGTATTGAACTAACTACTCTTTGGTTCCAGTCACTGGATCTACCTAACGTCTTTATTCAGTGAGCGAAATAAAGGCTTCAGTTTGACATTCCAACCACCTGAAGAAGGCCGGAGTGTACAACGGCCGAAACATTGTAATAAATATGGCGACAAAGATGAGGACAGTAGAATTATGTAAATAGTGTACATAATAACTCATCTCAGAAATATAGACAGATACTGGCATTGTTGTTAGTGACAAACACCAATTTTGAACAAAGCTGTTTAGGAATCGACAAAAAAAAACACGAAGAAGAGGAAACAAATCCTGATTCAAAATTTAAGTAAATCAGCTGGTAAATATGGATTGGATTAGTCTCTGACACATGGTCAATTTGGGAAACTGAGAAAGGTTTTTTGTTTATTGAGTTTTGGAAATAATTAAAAATTGTATATTTTTCCGTTTGTAAGTGAACTTCATATGGACATCTATATAAAAACCTTTTTCTCCCTTTTGATAAGAAATAAATTGGATTATTAATGTATGTGTTTTAATTTTCTCTTCATCACTCTCTCCTTCTTTTACTTTCTCCTCTTCTTTATCTACATACAGAAATATGTACGTAATAAACACTTGAACATTAAATAAAATTAAAAACGCAAAGTTATACATATCAGGGCATATCTGAAAACGGACCCCAAAATATCTAAACTGAACGACATCGGTTGACACGTTGAGGAAATTAGTGAAACTCGCAGAAAATGAGGGAATATTTTGCAGCTGTTTGTAAGTAAGCATTGATATTATTACAAAGGGAAAGACGATAACAAGTTTAGTGATAGAAGTGTTTGGAAAATAATGTCATTATAGAAAACATAAAATTTCGATAATGTCTCAAACAGACAAGCGTGGATGATGCAGACGTTCACTAATGATTCTCCTAGTATATGAACCAGATTAAAAAAACTTCCAATGAAAGGTTATAGACGAAAGATAAAAAAAAAAGATTAGATTTTGGAAAATCTTAAATGGAGAAAACAAAAATGGAATTTCATTTGTCGTTGTTAAAATAGCCTTTTTAAAGATGTAACCGTCATAAAATTAATATGTTTTGTTTCATAAATATTTCAACAACAATCAAACAGGGTTTTTTTGTCTTTGACTGCAGAAATCGCTAGGAATTTCGCGATCCAAATGAACTTTACTTGTTTGACAACACTTCTGAATGGCAAGAGATTTTTTCCTGGTATTTCACTTTTTGTTTGATAATTCGCAATTTTAGAATTCTTTTTGGTAGACTTTCTTTTTCGTAGAGTATTTTTCTTACATGCGAAACGCCAGACTGTTCTATCTTTTTCGAGTCTTTCTTTACGCTAACATATCTTGTGCAGTCTTCTGCCAAACTCTGTACCGAAATCCTCGGTTCGTTTTCCAATTTTGAAAGTACCAATTTCCTCAATTCTGCGTCTCTTTCTGAAACTAGACCCTGAACAAATATTAAGCACTTAAAATTATCAGCGCTTAATTCTACTAGTTTGAATTCTTCACAATGCTTGTTCACATTAGCTGCATACGTTATAAAGTCTTGTTCATCCTCTTTCATCAGATTCAAACATTTCCACCTTTTGTGAAACAAAGATGTCTTTTTACTAAATAATTCACTTAATATATTTACCGCCTCGGTAACTCGCTAGTTTTTTTCGGTAAAATGTAGTTTACCAATTTATTATGCTCAGCAGTTCCTAACTTGCTTAAAAGAAGTCTAACCTTCTTTCCTTCAGACCACGTGTGGCAGTCCTCGTTATACATGTCCGTATATTTTTTAAAACACTCTTCAAAAGTTATTTCTTCATCTGGACTGTACGTGAATATTTCAATCGAATTCCATATTGTATTCTCTGGGAAAGAATCATTTCGTAAATTTTCCTCTTTCCTCTTCTCAGTTATTTCCAGAATTTTGTTTTGAAACTCCTCATGCATCAGTTCCATTTCTCGTTGAAACTGTATCTGTCTATTAAAGGTATCCTCCTGAAGTTGTATGTGGAATGTTTTCTGTAGGTCCAATATTGTCTTTTATTGTTCCGTCTGGAACTTAAAAAATTCCTGGAATATATTTTTGCATTCCTCCATCTTCGCAAAAAGTTTACACAATGCTTAAATATTGTAGAGGGGGTCCAAAATTAATTTGTAATTCGTGACCTATTTTAGCAAACTGTCTTATCGAGAAAAAATAATAAAATTCTTTTCTCAGTTACGAATACGACTGATTTTTTCGTCACTAAGTTGACGTTTTGTCTTTCGAAAAAACTTTGCCAAGTTTTTTTTTTTATGTGAATCCGAGTTGTTGTCGCCGAAAATTTGACGAGCAATTTTTTTTTTCTTTTTCCTCCGTATGAAAAACGAATTTCGTCACTA